TTTGTGCTCGATACTGGCTGGCCGGAAGTGCTAAGCTACACTGGGCAAGGTGGTTCAAGTGAAACAAGATTTCGTCATCACCCATGGCATGTCCATGCGGTGCAATCATCTGCGCTCTGGTCTGTCTGGAACCCTCATTGGGTGGTGCATGGATGGAATCATCAGTCCTCCCATGGCCCCAAAACAGTGGGGTGCTGGTGCAATGGTCGTGAGGTTCATTCTGGAACTTACCTTGCTGTCTCCAACAATGGTACAACAACGCAGCAGCATTCTTGAGACGAGTCTGGCCTAGTACAATATGCTCAAGGAAATTGATTGCATCCGGACCACACAATGAAACCGGTGGTGGGGCATGTTCTTGGTAACACTGACCCATGTTGATTCCCCACTGACTTGCAAGGTGTTGCAAAAACGCGTCCACCAGTTCCTGTTCATATGGGCACAAGTTCATCGTGAAACATTGGACTTCCTGATCGGTGTTGGTGAGCCACACAGGTATCCATCGCTCAGCAATCAGTAGGCACGTCAAGAATCCTACATCGGGATGAATGTGGCCATTTCCATGAATCCAATCTTGCAGCAGTGATTCATGACCCTGGCACCACATGCTGGCAGCAGCTGGCGGTATGATGGAGATCTGAGAAACAGGTGAAACCCTACTCCATTGAGCCATGTTGTGAAACTGATCAGCAATACTTTCAAGATGAAAAAGGACTTCAAGGTCGTTCATCCGTGTTTCACCAATGCAATCATGTTCGGCAAGACCCAAGTAGGGCCAAACACTACAGTCACATCTAGGCATCACCATTGCCTGTGCTGCTTCCGGTGGCGCCACACTCAAGGTAAAACATGTGCAAATGCCAACGGGCAATTTAGGGAGTAGCCCGGATTCCCCTTTCATGCCTTTTCCCCATACCACAGGGGGTGGTGTGTGGGTGATTTGGTACAGATGTTCAACAAAAGAAGCCCTCATGTTCGTGTGCAAAAACCCCAGTTCCTGTGCATCTTCGGGCAGTGGCATCTGGACAGTCAAGTGGGCAAGAAAAGAGAGTGCGTATGCCCCACACAAGTCCGTGTCAGTGATACGTTTGGGTATGCGGTGAAACGTGCATTGTTGAAATCCCATCAACACGGACAGTTCAGCCATGCGATTCTCAAGTTCCGCCATACCCTGCACTTCGTCATTGAACGTATGAACTTGTATGGTATTGACAACCGGCACAATCCAAATGGGCAACCAGTGATTGTCAATTGAGACAACCGTGACAACATTTTGGCCTTGGTCACGGACTTGAGGATTGGTAGAGCACCAGTCAACAGCAATTTGTTTTCCAATCGAATCCCAACAGCTGAACATGAGAGGCTCCATGTACGTGTACGTACGATGTGGAAATTGGCTGGGTCTCTGGTTTTGAATCAACCGAAGCAAGTGGTATCTCATTTCATCATCCCCCATGGAGGTTCCATTGCTATTGATTAAATCAATCCTCTCATCTCTTGTGATCCTCGGCCCACTGGATGGACTCGGAGTTTGCACTGCATCGTCAGGTGGCTGGTCTCCAGCACCCCAGATCCAGGGGCGTCTCGCAATTTGGCATCTCGAAACCTCAGTGCGGTAAAGTGCCCGAAGTGTGTTGTGCAACTGTTGGGCCTCATCATCATTGGAGGGGAGCTGTCCCCCAATCAACATCAGACGGATGAATGCAATGGCGAGTGATCCACATGAGTTACTGGTAAAGAACAGTCTCTGTTCTCGGCAAATGCTGGTTTCTTCAAAACCCAGTGCATGGGAAAGCCGGTGCACCCATTCATTCATTGGAGCATGATCATGTTCAGTTTTGTCCCATGTGTGGGCATGCAATGTGCGTTTGCTAGGGACCAGGCACAGTGGGATCCAATGGCTCTCAATCTGCACCGCTGAAATCACAATTGCCCCATCACGGAAAACCTCTGGGTGATCAGCAGCCCATTTTGCACAATCAAATCCTTTTTGGTGAGACCATGCCGTGGCAAGCAAAGGATCTAAAACCACAACCCGACGCACTACATTGCCAGTCTTGGCTGAGTGTTCAATTGATCTTTGCTGGATCATGTGCAAATGGAATCGAATCTCATCATCCGCCCACAAACAGTCTTGTTGCTCAAGCACTTGGAGTCTATCCCTCGTCTGAAGATATTGGTGCCTAAGTGCCCACAGTTGTTGTGGGTTTGCCACACATGGTGTCATCAATTTCAGGTATTGATCCCCCTTGAGTCCCAAAAGTGGGCCAGCGTCCAACCAGGATTCTTCAGAAACCGACTTGGGGTCAGGGATCAAGCATTCACCAACATCATACTTAGAGACCTTGCGAGGCGGCGATTTGATCACAGGGTCTTCATTGGGCAATTGCGTCCATTCAACCGTTGGTGAAACCTCGACATTTGGGCAAAACCCTTCAGGCGACAGACCAGCTTTCGGGGTGGTGTCTGATTTGTCGTGCAGCGTGACGACGATGACTTGTCCCACTTCCATGACATGTGAACGATCAATATCTTGTCCCCGAAGTCTGATGCTTTCAATCTCCATCTTTTCAACCAGCTTTTCCTGAGCAGTCAAAAACTGGCCTACGGTGCAATCACACTTTGGTTGGAATTTGATCGGGGACTCAGAGCTTCCAGTGAACATGACCGTGCAAAAATCAACACACATACCCTCAACGGCATCAGGGTCTGCAACCCGCACCGGTGCGTCATACCAAGGAGTCGGTGCTTCATCATCAGTTTCCCCTTGATCCAAATTGGTTTGGGGGACCGCTAGACTCTCAATCTTGATGAGGTGGTCTAAGATTGCAGCAATGCTAACATGTTGACGAATCAACCCTTGCCAGCGAATGGGATACAACAATTCAGCAAGGGACAACGTTTTGTGATCCTCCCAAAACCCAATCAATGCAGAAAGTTTGGGGTCATCAATGGGTTCATGGTCACATGTCCAAACCTGCTTGCATCTCATCAAAAGCCATGCACGGTAAGCTTGGATTTGTGCATTGGGGTCATATGTTTGCCCTCCATGCTGCAATTGCTCAAGGCGTTCAATCAAATGTCCAAAAACCCATAAGGCTTGCAACGGGGCAGCAATCTGACCAACTGCTGACAGAGACAGCCTCACCTGCGGTCCAAGGTCCAGGATGGGGTCCATCGAATTGAGCCCCATTGCTTCATTGGGATGCAGGTGTCTGATTTTGGATTCACTCATGCATGTTTCAGCACTACGGGTGAGGCATCCATGAAGACCCTTGGTGGCCAAACGAGCATCTGACAAGGGAAAGGCACGGCATCCACACGGACATGGGTGCAACTGGTTGCCACATGCATGCAAAGCACATGGTGAAACCCCTTGACTATTAAGCAAATGTTTACCATGGGCATTGTTGGAGACCCCAAATGCTTGCAATTCACGTTCATCAAGAGCGAGCTCAGATTCATCTTCTGGCGCCCAAGACCGGATGCATGGGATGACTTGGTTGACCCGTGTGACATTATCAAGCACTTGCCATACCTGCATGTCAATCTTTCCAATCTCGGGTGCTGTGAGGAGCCACCATGTCCTGTGGCGTCGGCATGGCCACACTTGATCCAACTTGAGGTCAATTTGGGAACATGTGAAACCTGTGCATGCAGTGAACCTGGCAATTTCCGACTTCACGAAATCATCCTTACCAGCTGGGGTGACACACTCTAAGATTACTGCTTTGACCTGGAGTAAGTATGCAGCATTGAGAGTTTTGGTGAGACATGAGGAGCGACTGTCATCTCGGCCTTTTCCATCACCTAATTGCGAAAAGGGCTGGCAGCTGAAGCCCGATGCCAGCACTGACGCCCCCTTTGCTCGTTTCCATATCTCATAAATCACCTGCTTACATCCAAAGTCCCCACAAATGGTGGGTGCATCGCTAATCTTTGAGTAGAGCTCCAACATGGGTTGGTTATGATCCACTGCTACAGTGACTTCCAGCCCAGCAGCGATGGCTCCCTGTGAGAGCCCTCCGAAGCCAGCACATAGGTCAATCAGAGACGTCATTGAGTCCCAGGACGGTTGATGAAAACCCATGATCATGGTGTCTTTGGTGGCCACCAAAATGGGAATGGGAAATTGTTGTTTCAAACAGCAGTTGAGCATAGTGAAACTTTGAAACCCAGCATCAAGCATGCCCTCGTAGTGAAACATTCGTCCATTGCATGAGGAGACCATCATATGCCTTTCATGGGAATGGTCAAAAATTGCGACCTTACACACCAGATCCAGAAAACCACCATTAGGCACTTGCGAAAATTCCATGGGGTATTCGAATCGAGACATGGCATGCAAAGGGTGTTCCTACCAGCCCACGTTCGGCCAGCTCGGCCGCACTCCCTGGAAAGCTTGGGCAATCACGGCTGTTCCAAACCACCAACCCGTTAGAAATTTGGGGAACCCAGTAAACACTATCAGATGCGCGAGACTCAGCCAGTACCTTGGCTAATACTTATTCTTACAACCCTATACCCTCTGGTAAACTAACAGTTTGCTATTGAAAATTCTCATTGATAGTTGATGACTACCCCTTAATAGCATGGTGATTTTCCAGTTCGTTATCTTAGTTCGTTGACCAGGCCGGGTAACTCCCATGAAATCACCATTTTTCAGGGTAAAAATCGTCAAATCCCAATGGTTTATAACTCGCAGAAATCCAAGAGGCCAACCAACCACAGAAGTACAGATGCTGCTGAAATCCCAAAATCAACATCCAAAGATGTCCAGAAAAATGCCAGAAAAATCTCGGACATCCCATAAAAACATATAAAAACTCCCATTTTGCTAGGAAAACATCGATTTCCCATAAATCTTCCCAGTGAAATCGATGGTTTTCCTAGCAAAACCTCGGAAAACCTCAAGTTTGGGTGGCGTGAAACACCCCCCGACTTCGTCCCTTCGTCCCTTCGTCCCTTCGTCCCTTCGTCCCTTCGTCCCTTCGTCCCTCCTCGATGCGCGAGGCTTGAGCGTTCTCTAGACCTCGGACAGGAGATGTAGAAACATGTAGATTTGTATATATCATATATGTGAACAGATATATATATATATATACATATCATATTATATATGTACAAATATCGTATTACATATACTGTATATATATGTGTGTGTGTGTACCAACCTAGCATGTATAGAAATATACAACAAGTTCTTCTTGTATGTCCCTCCGCCCGGTCTTTCCAGCTTCGGCATCGGCTCCAAAAAGCTCATGGCATGTTGCCATTGGTCGGCCTTCCTACAGACGTTGATCAAGGCTTTACGAGTGACCACATCAGGTGTGACTTGTGCCGCAGCCATAGAGCTGAAGAGCTGTAGGGCCTGTTGCCATTCCTTAACGGTGCCCAACGGCTTGTTTCTTTTTCTAAAGACCTGGGATTCAACTGGGACAAAGCACTATCCAAGCCATTCCAAGCCTATAAATATGCTATAAACGAATCATTCTATGGGGATATACTGGGAGACTCGGAGCTATATCCCACCAGGAGACCCAGAGGCCCACTTTCTTGGGATGAGCTTCAATTTTTTGAACAGAGCGTCGCTGCCAGAAAGCCGGGGTAAAATGACAGCAAGATTTGGGCAATGTGCCGCTGAATGGATCTGAATGGTTGGTTATCATTCTGGGCTAGTTTGGAGCAGTTTTATGGAGAACAATTATAGATGTGTGACGAATGTCATATCCAAAAAATTTGATCACTGTTCCACCTCCAAAAAATAGCGGGGTAGCACCATTCCCCAAAACGAGGATTGTAACCTCCGGTTTTGCGACAAAGCTTTAGTGGTTTGGGTGGTGGTCTGCACTCCTGACAGACCAGGTTTCGCATGAAGACATTGACAAAAAACAAAACTTGAGCAGTATAATATATAATATAATAAAATATAATATAATATAATATAATATAATATGATATTATACAATATAATATAATATAATATAATATAATATAATATATATAATATAATATATATAAATATATAAAATATAATATCTATATATATATATATATTATATTATATTATATTATATTATATTATATTATATATATGTAATATATATATATATTATAATATGTATATATATTATTATTACTTATATAACTATACTCTAAGCTGAGTGTTCAAAAATTCCGACATGTCATTCCAGTATACTGCTTGGTCACCAGGGATTCCCATACTTGATTGTGATAATCCTAGCATATAATGCGCACAAAAAAACTACCCAAGAGGTTTTTGAACACTGCTCACTTGTGCAGCCCAAGATTCCCCAGAAACCTTGCAAGCAGCGATGGCTGTATTGTAGCTGATGATATTCGGAATCACCTTATTTTTTTGCATCTTTTCCAGGAAATCCACTGCTTGTTGCCATTGATCCCCCTTCACACATGCACTGATAATGGCATTGTAACCTGGTTGTGGTTTCACTGTGCACCAAAGATGCTGATTGTCATCACCCTTTTGGTGCTCTAAAAATAATGCAAAAAAAAAAAAACGCAGTGTCAAAGGTTCAACATCTGGTGCCAACATCATGGTAGTTTTAGCGTAGGCCTCCGGAGGCCCCGGTAGATTTAGGGGGTGTTCAAAAAGAAACCTAGATCCCTTCACCCTGAATTTTATATCCCCCAAAGGTTCAAGGTGGTGCCCCCCCAGTGATGTTTGTTGTTTTATAAACCATAGTAAATAAAGATATATCTACCATAAAGCCTAGTTATTGGAGTCGGGATTTTAAATCCACCTTCCAATCATATTACACTTCTAAACACCAACCACATAATATCCATCTTTCAAATGTTTTTTTATACCCCCCTGCTATGACGGTCGAAAGATGGATACCATCTGCTGGGGCTTACTGATACGACCAGGGGAAAGGAGTCCCCTCGATTAGTAATCATTGCTATGAAAAATAACCAAAGTATCTTGGTCAATAATCTGAGCAAATTATATATATAATAATTCACTAACCTGAAATACCCTGTACTAAGCATGATTCCAGTGAGGTCGCAGTGAGGTCGTTATAATTGGCCCAGAATAATCGCAAAATGGGTGATTTTCCACAGATGCCATAGCTATGTTGAATTGGGTATGGGTCAAAATTGGCTGCTAAACATCTACATATCAATCTGTGGTACCGTAGGGCGTAAATTTTGACTCATACAACATTACCAGAGACTAACGTGACTAAAAAGACATCCAAGGGCCAGGGACTAACAACATCTGGAGTCACTTCTGCCTCAGACATCACCTCAAAAAGGCCCAGGGCCAGTGCCCATTGGCTTCCCTTCTTGCAAGCACTGATGCTGGCGTTGTAGCCTCAGAAATCGCTAGCATAGATACAGTAAAGGAAAATGTCCCATCACTAGTATACCCATGAATTGAAGCATTGTTGAACCAACTTATAATCATCTACCAACAAAGGTGTGTGTATATATATACCTGTATATATATACCTCTGTAAACATCTATATATATATAATATATATATAATAACTTGGGCACTAATAACTAACAGGGGTTGGTACATGTCCTAATTGAACATTACCCATCCCAACTAAAAATGAATATTTTATCTCCAACACATACATTTCGTGATCTTCAAAATCACCCAAAAAAAGTCTTTGACCAATCTCTGACTAATCAACCATCATCTGTTGACCAGTTCCTGTCCCTATTCTTGGTGGTTTTCCAGCCCGATCATCCCAGGCCAAATTCTCACAATGGAAAATGGTTTGCTGAGCCCACCCCAGTGTGTATAAATATATTTTGTTCAAACCATGGCACAGAAAAATATTGGCAGTAGACTAGAAAAATATGATCCAATGTGGATTCATGTTTGCTCACAAAAAGTCGCGGTAGATTCGCAAGTTCTCGTTGAGTGTCTTACAACATGGAACCCAAATAGAATGCCTCTACAAATCCGAGTAGCCAATGACATTTGGAGTGACTTCCGATTTTTTCAGAAGCGCAAGCAAGCTCAGTGCATGTATCCATTGACCTCCCTTCTCACAGGCACTCATGGTAGCGTTGTAGCCTGGAGTGCTGAAGGTTGTCATCGGCTCGGGAATTCCGCGATCAAAGAGGTGAAAAATGGGAAAATAATCCAGCAAAAGGAAAAAAACATGGAAATTCCAATATGATCTAATATGTATGTTAGTTTACCTGCGGGTAAAGATTCTAAGCGCACGAACCAGGAACTAACGACATCAGGACTAACGGTTGCTTCAGGCATCGTCTCGAACAAGATCAACGCATGCTGCCACTGCAAGCCCTTCTCACATGCTGTGATGGCGGTGTTGTAGCTAACCACATTTGGAGTGATGTTCGCTTTCGGCATCAGCTCGAACAGTCTCAATGCCTCCTGCCACTGTCCAGACTTCTCGCAAGCACTAATGGTTGCATTGTAGTTAACCACGTTTGGACTAAGGTCTTCATCCAGCATGGTTTGAAGCAAGCTTGATGCCTCTTGCCATTTGCCTCCTTGTTTGCAAGCATTGATGATAGAACTGAAGCTGATGACATTTGGACTGACATCTGCTTCACGCATTGCATCAAACAAACTCAACGCCTGCTGCCATTCACCACCCTTCTCACAGGCACACATGACAGCACTGAAGCTAATAATGTCTGGCCGAACTTCTTCTTTTCGCATGCTCTCCAACAAACTCATTGCATGCTGCCATTGACCTCCCTTCTCACAAGCGCTCATGGTGGCATTGTAGCTAACAACGTCTGGTGTCACTCCAGTTTCCGACATTGCATGAAGCAAGAACAAAGCACGCTGCCACCGACCCCCCTTCTCACAAGCACTGATGATAGCGTTGTGGCTAACAACATCAGGACGTACTTCTTGTTTCAACATTCCTTCAAACAAAATCAACGCTTGCTGCCATTGACCTCCCTTCTCACAAGCGCTGATGGCTGTGTTGTAGCTAATCACGTTGGGACTGACATCTGCCGGCATCGAGTGAAACAAACTCAATGCCTCCAGCCATTGAGCGCCAGCCTCGCAAGCGCTCATGGCAACATTGTAACTGATGACGTTTGGACTGACATCCTCTTGTGTCATTGAACGAAACAAGCTCAGAGCATGCTGCCAGTGACCAGTCTTTTTACAAGCACTGCTGGTTGCAATATAACTGGCAACATTCGGACTGACCTCTGCTTCTGTCATTGTCTGAAACAATTTCAGTGCAGTCTGCCACTGACCACACACCTTGCAGGCACTAATGCTTGCATTGAAACTTCTGACATCGGGACTCACAGTTGCCTTGCCCATGACCCCAAGCAAGCTCAAAGCCTGTTGCCATTGACCTCCCTTTCTGCAAGCCCTTAGGGTCGCATTGTAGCAACCAATATCCTTGGATTGGCGAAAAACGGTAGGTGAAAAAAGTTTCCCTACCTTTTGGACTAACCAGAAAACATGTTTAAAAATATCATCAATGGCCATTTCATTGTGGGGATATTCCCTTACATTGGCTTTATATATGGCAGGTACCTGAAATGGCTATTGGTATCCGCGACTCAACTCCAGGTCACTGGACTTAGCCTCCTCGTGAAGATCGAAGAAAAAACCTGGAGGGCCTTCTGCCATGCAGCGGCCTTTTTCCAGCTATTGATGGCACAAGTATAGCCTGGTGGAGCTGTAGATCGCCCAATCAGCATGGAAAATTAGACAAAACATCTGACACATCTAAACAACATGTACGGTAAGTTGGTCAATGTTGATGATCCAAAAGTCTTTTTGCTCGAACATTAAATAGGAAATATCAGTTTGTCTGAAAACAAAATGGTTACTCCCTAAAATCCCATGGTTGAATATGGGTCCCTTCATTTTTTCACAAATGGCTGGTTTGAATCCCATAGAAAATCCCATATGATGGTTTGGTATTCGTGAGATGTATGATCATTTTCATGGGATGGATCCCAGTAGAATGACCATTTTAAGATACCAAATCCATCTCCGAAAGAGTCATATGAAGTTGGCTATGTATCGATTGTTTTATCTCTATTTGTGCAATCGTTCAATCCCCATGTTTGTCATGTTTGATGGTTGAGAAATCCCAGTGTTTGATGGTTAATCCCCATGTCTGCTACAGTAGTTTAATCCATGTTTGATGGTTGAATCCTCATGTTTCATCTAAAAAAACAAGTTTTGCTAGTTAAATCCCCAGTGTTCTTGGTCTTTTTGTTAGTTGAATCCATATGTTTGCTGTTTTAAATCCCCCTTTTTCATGGTGAAATCATGCTAAATCCCCATTTTTCATGGCTAAATCATGGTAAATCTCCCCATTTTTCATGGTTAAATCCCCATGGTTTGGTGGTCGAATCCCCCAAATTTTTGCTCGTGAAATCCCAAGTTTTCATGGTTAAATCCCCAATCTCAGCCAGTCCCAGAAACTCACCACATCCCCATGGACTTTCGCCTCCGGCATCCCTTGGAACAACCGCAAGGCCCGTTGCCAGTCATCGCCCTCGTCGCAAGCGCTCAACAAGGCGTTGTAGCTGCTAAGGCAGCCTGGGATTGGCCAAGATTGACGAAGTTAAAAAATCTCCAATGTTTTCCCCAAACCTTTTAAAGGCATCTTTCTGGGCGTTCATATATGATAAACTGTAACTTGGTTGTTGTATAAAAATACATTTGTATATGTATATATATATACATATCCTACATAGTTGTTGTCATTTCACAAATAACAACTAGTATCCGTACCGCCAAGGGATAAAATAATCGGGTGGTACTCCAATTTGTAAGATATTTTCCCGAGCTTCTGCCATTATAGTAATGGTTGTCCTAGTAAATGTGGGCACTCAATTGTTATAAAACCAGTCATACATGGGATATCCAGGTATATACAAAAAAAACACAGGGGCTTCCATCCTATGTGTCAGACTGATTTCGGGTACATGGATGGAACCGGATTAAAGAACTGTTCAATCAGCAACAAACAAACATAACATACAAGATTCCCCTAAAAAGATCTGATTTTTTGGGTGGATGTTCATCCAAAATTGGAAAAACATACAAAGTCAGTCATCTCTGCCAGAGGAAAAAATCAGTTACCCTCTGGTAAACTAACAGTTTGCTATTGAAAATGGCCATAGAAATAGTGGATTTTCCCATTAAAAATGGTGATTTTCCATAGCTATGTAACAAATTACCAGAGGGTACACTGTTCTCCCGATCCAGGCAGCCATCCCATTTCTCCAGCATAATTTCCTCCATTTGATCCGCAGAAGCCCGCAGCTGTTGGTGTCGATGAAATGGACTCGTGCGAAGCGTCCGCATGCGACGCATTTTTTGGGCGCAAAAAACTCGAAGCTCGGGGAGACTTTGAGAGCGAACATGCTTCAACGTTGCAACAGTAAGCCTACGGCCCTACCAGTCAAGTGGGCAATAACTATAACTGTCTTTTCCCTAGTTATAGACAAGTTATAGGCAATAACTAGTGATAACTGTCTAGAATACAGAATATCCCAAGTTTTAAAGAGTCGCCAGTGGGAGAAAGTAGCCGTATCCAACTACGACCGCCCTAAAATCAGAGCGGCAAAAGCGCTTCACCATCATTTCTCCGCAGGTGCGACAGATTTCATTCCAAGAAATCATAGATGCTAATAGGGGTTAATGGTGGTTAATGGTGATTAATGGTGGTTAATGGAAGTTATTAATGGCTAATAGTGAATTAATGGTGATTTACCCTCTGGTAAACTAACATAGCTATGGAAAACCACCATTTTTAATGGGAAAACTCACTATTTCTATGGCCATGTTCAATAGCTATTTTGACATAACCAGAGGGTATACCCTCTGGTAGATGAACATCCCTGAAAAAATGGCCATTCTAAAAAGTGTTTCAACTCATCTTCCCGATGAACGTTTTTTGAAACGGTGCCATGTCCCCCCCGTTTTGGATTCGGCGCCGGGACACGCGTCTCTCCCACCTTCTCCGCCAAGCGAACCACGGTGTCCACATCGGCGTTGCCCCACTGCAGCACCCCAGTGGGGGTGCACAGCAGTAAGCCCTGCAAAATTGCGGTGCCATACACAACCAGGGCCCAGCACTGAACTACCCAGCCTAGCAATGACTAACATAGCTATTGAAAATGGCCATAGAAATAGTGGATTTACCCAGCTATAAAATGGTGATTTTCCATAGTTATGTTCGTTTACCAGAGGGTAATCCCATAATGGAATGTATGGTATCCCATGGAAATAACCATTTATTTCATAAGGACCATAACTGTGCCGCGATGAATTGCTCCCATCTCCCGGGATATGTTTGTCGGATTTTGATGGGATACAATGAGGTTTCATGGGATACCAATGGGATTTCAATGGAGGTTTAATGCAAGATGTCTATAATGGTTTTTTAATGAATTTGAATGGGATATATGGAGCTTTAATGGGAGATCAATGGGATAAATTTTATGGGAGTTCAAGGGGATCAATATATGGACGTTTTTCATGGGATCTCAGCTTGAGATACGGAGGTTAATTTCATGGGATTTCATGGGAAGAAGTTACCCTCAAAAAAGTGGGAAAACATGGGAAACTCTGGGTAATCCCATCTCACTTTTTTTGGACATCCTCCAGAAATTGCTTGGTGGATGTAGGGTTATTTCATCACATCCTTGGCACCAAGGAAAGTCGATTCCGAATGGATTGTTGCTTTGAAACAACTCATGTTTTCCGGTTGGCTGATGAAATTAAAGGACCGGATAACCCCACAAGACAACTTCTTCCAATAACGAGCACATAGTGTTGTAGCGGGGCCGGGGAAGGAAGGAAAGACAAAGGAGGCGGTGGAGGATCGAGAAGTAAAACAAAGTTGTGTGTGACAAAGTGGCATGTGAAAGATGGTGTGTGACGAAGAAAGATGGTGTGTGTGTGTGTGAAAAAGTTGTGTGTGAAAGATGGTGTGTGTGAAAGTTGTGTGTGAAAGAGAGTGTGTGACAAAGTTGTGTGTGAAAGATGGTGTGTGACAAAGTGGTGTGTGACAAAGTGGTGTGGCGAAAGATGCTGTGTGACAAAGTGGTGTGTGAAAGATGGTGTGTAAAAGATGGTGTGTGACAAAGTTGTGTGTGAAAAATGGTGTGCTGAAAGATGGTGTGTGGAAGATGGTGTGTGAAAGATGGTGTGTGACAAAGTGGTGTGTGACAAAGTGGTGTGTGAAAGATGGTGTGTCAAAGATGGTGTGTGACAAAGTCGAAATTGTGTGTGACAAAGTGGTGTGTGACAAAGTGGTGTGTGAAAGATGGTGTGTCAAAGATGGTGTGTGACAAAGTCAAAGTTGTGCGTGAAAAATGGTGTGCTGAAAGATGGTGTGTGGAAGATGGTGTGGTGAAAGATGGTGTGTGACAAAGTGGTGTGTGACAAAGTGGTGTGTGAAAGATGGTGTGTTAAAGATGGTGTGTGACAAAGTTGGGTGTAAAAGATGGTGTGTTACAAAGATGGTGTGTAAAAGAGGGTGTGTGGAAGATGGTGTGTGACAAAGTGGTGTGTGAAAGATGGTGTGTGACAAAGTGGTGTGTGAAAGTGCCATGAGTGCCACGCCTACCACGCAAAACGACAGTAGATGTGAGGTTGTGCCACGCCTGCCACGCAAAGTGCCGCGGCGTCACAGGCGCCCAAGCCAGTCCAAGCGCGCCACCCAGTGCCATCTGTACCACGCCTGCCACGCAAAACGACGGTGGATGTGAGTTTGTGCCACGCCTGCCACGCAAAACGACAGTAGGTGTGAGTTTGTGCCACGCCTGCCACGCAAAGTGCCGCGGCGTCACGGGCGCCCAAGCCCGTCCAAGCGCTCCACCCAATGCCATCTGTCCCACGCCTGCCACGCAAAACGACAGTAGATGTGAGTTTGTGCCACGCCTGCCACGTGAAACGAAGGTGAATGTCAGGTTGTGCCACGCCTGCCACACAAAGTGCCGCGGCGTCACAGGCGCCCAAGCCCGTCCAAGCGCGCCACCCAGTGCCATCTGTCCCACGCCTGCCACGCAAAACGACAGTAGATGTGAGTTTGTGCCACGCCTGCCACGCAAAACGAGAGTAGATGTGAGTTTGTGCCACGCCTGCCACGTGAAACGACAGTAGATGTGAGTTTGTGCCACGCCTGCCACGCAACGTGCCGCGGCGTCACAGGCGCCCAAGCCCGTCCAAGCGCGCCACCCAATGCCATCTGTCCCACGCCTGCCACGCAAACCGACAGTAGATGTGAGTTGGTGTGCCACACGAGTAGATGTGAGTTTGTGCCACGCCTGCCACGCAAAGTGCCGCGGCGTCACAGGCGCCCAAGCCCGTCCAAGCGCGCCACCCAATGCCATCAGATGTGCGTTTGTGCCACGCCTGCCACGCAAAACGAAGTAGATGTGAGTTTGTGCCACGCCTGCCACACAAAGTGCCGCGGCGTCACAGGCGCCCAAGCCCGTCCAAGCGCGCCACCCAATGCCATCTGTCCCACGCCTGCCACGCAAACCGACAGTAGATGTGAGTTGGTGCCACACCTGCCACGTGAAACGACAGTAGATGTGAGTTTGTGCCACGCCTGCCACGCAAAGTGCCGCGGCGTCACAGGCGCCCAAGCCCGTCCAAGCGCGCCACCCAGTGCCATCTGTCCCACGCCTGCCACGCAAAACGAGAGTGAGTTTGTGCCACGCCTGCCACGTGAAACGAAGGTGGATGTGAGGTTGTGCCACGCCTGCCACGCAAAGTGGCGCGGCGCCCCAGGCGCCAAATCCCGGCCCAAGGGCGCCACCCAGTAGCATCTGTCCCACGCCTGCCACGCAAAACGACGGCAGATGTCTGACAAAGTGTTTGTTGAGAAAATGTATGTTGACAAAGTGTATGTTGATAAAGTGTGTGTGGACAAAGTGTGTGGTGACAAAGTGTGTGTGGACAAAGTGTGTGGTGACAAAGTGTATGTTGATAAAGCGTGTGTGGACAAAGTGTTTGTGGACAAAGTGTTTGTGGACAAAGTGTGTGGTGACAAAGTGTGTGTGGACAAAGTGTGTGTGGACAAAGTGTTTGTGGACAAAGTGTTTGTGGACAAAGTGTGTGGTGACAAAGTGTGTGTGGACAAAGTGTGTGTGGACAGAGTGTTTTGGACAAAGTGTTTGTTGAGAAAATGTATGTTGACAAAGTGTATGTTGATAAAGTGTGTGTGGACAAAGTGTGTGGTGACAAAGTGTTTGTTGAGAAAATGTATGTTGACAAAATGTATGTTGATAAAGTGTGTGTGGACAAAGTGTGTGGTGACAAAGTGTGTGTGGACAAAGTGTTTTGGACAAAGTGTTTGTTGAGAAAATGTATGTTGACAAAGTGTATGTTGATAAAGTGTGTGTGGACAAAGTGTGTGGTGACAAAGTGTTTGTTGAGAAAATGTATGTTGACAAAATGTATGTTGATAAAGTGTGTGTGGACAAAGTGTGTGGTGACAAAGTGTGTGTGTGGACAAAGTGTGTGGTGACAAAGTGTATGTTGATAAAGTGTGTGTGGACAAAGTGTGGAGGAGGGCGGAGGAGGAGGCGGAGGAGGAGGCGGAGCCCGGGATACAGAATCAAAAATTAAAGGACCGGATAACCCCACAAGACAACTTCTTCCAATAACGAGCACATAGTGTTGTAGCGGGGCCGGGGAAGGAAGGAAAGACAAAGGAGGCGGTGGAGGATCGAGAAGTAAAACAAAGTTGTGTGTGACAAAGTGGCATGTGAAAGATGGTGTGTGACGAAGAAAGATGGTGTGTGTGTGTGAAAAAGTTGTGTGTGAAAGATGGTGTGTGTGAAAGTTGTGTGTGAAAGAGAGTGTGTGACAAAGTTGTGTGTGAAAGATGGTGTGTGACAAAGTGGTGTGTGACAAAGTGGTGTGGCGAAAGATGCTGTGTGACAAAGTGGTGTGTGAAAGATGGTGTGTAAAAGATGGTGTGTGACAAAGTTGTGTGTGAAAAATGGTGTGCTGAAAGATGGTGTGTGGAAGATGGTGTGTGAAAGATGGTGTGTGACAAAGTGGTGTGTGACAAAGCGGTGTGTGAAAGATGGTGTGTCAAAGATGGTGTGTGACAAAGTCGAAATTGTGTGTGACAAAGTGGTGTGTGACAAAGTGGTGTGTGAAAGATGGTGTGTCAAAGATGGTGTGTGACAAAGTCAAAGTTGTGTGTGAAAAATGGTGTGCTGAAAGATGGTGTGTGGAAGATGGTGTGGTGAAAGATGGTGTGTGACAAAGTGGTGTGTGACAAAGTGGTGTGTGAAAGATGGTGTGTGACAAAGTTGGGTGTAAAAGATGGTGTGTTACAAAGATGGTGTGTAAAAGAGGGTGTGTGGAAGATGGTGTGTGACAAAGTGGTGTGTGAAAGATGGTGTGTGACAAAGTGGTGTGTGAAAGTGCCATGAGTGCCACGCCTACCACGCAAAACGACAGTAGATGTGAGGTTGTGCCACGCCTGCCACGCAAAGTGCCGCGGCGTCACAGGCGCCCAAGCCAGTCCAAGCGCGCCACCCAGTGCCATCTGTACCACGCCTGCCACGCAAAACGACGGTGGATGTGAGTTTGTGCCACGCCTGCCACGCAAAACGACAGTAGGTGTGAGTTTGTGCCACGCCTGCCACGCAAAGTGCCGCGGCGTCACGGGCGCCCAAGCCCGTCCAAGCGCTCCACCCAATGCCATCTGTCCCACGCCTGCCACGCAAAACGACAGTAGATGTGAGTTTGTGCCACGCCTGCCACGTGAAACGAAGGTGAATGTCAGGTTGTGCCACGCCTGCCACACAAAGTGCCGCGGCGTCACAGGCGCCCAAGCCCGTCCAAGCGCGCCACCCAGTGCCATCTGTCCCACGCCTGCCACGTGAAACGAAGGTGGATGTCAGGTTGTGCCACGCCTGCCACACAAAGTGCCGCGGCGTCACAGGCGCCCAAGCCCGTCCAAGCGCGCCACCCAAGGCCATCTGTCCCACGCCTGCCACGCAAAACGAGAGTAGATGTGAGTTTGTGCCACGCCTGCCACGTGAAACGACAGTAGATGTGAGTTTGTGCCACGCCTGCCACGCAAAGTGCCGCGGCGTCACAGGCGCCCAAGCCCGTCCAAGCGCGCCACCCAATGCCATCTGTCCCACGCCTGCCACGCAAAACGACAGTAGATGTGCGTTTGTGCCACGCCTGCCACGTGAAACGAAGGTGGATGTGAGGTTGTGCCACGCCTGCCACGCAAAGTGGCGCGGCGCCCCAGTCCCGGCCCAAGGGCGCCACCCAGTACCATCTGTCCCACGCCTGCCACGCAAAACGACGGCAGATGTCAGTTTGTGCCACGCCTGCCACGTGAAACGAAGGTGGATGTGAGGTTGTGCCACGCCTGCCACGCAAAGTGGCGCGGCGCCCCAGGCGCCAAATCCCGGCCCAAGGGCGCCACCCAGTACCATCTGTCCCACGCCTGCCACGCAAAACGACGGCGGATGTCAGTTTGTGCCACGCCTGCCACGTGAAACGAAGGTGGATGTCAAGTTGTGCCACGCCTGCCACGCAAAGTGGCGCAGCGCCCCAGGCGCCAAATCCCGGCCCAAGGGCGCCACCCAGTACCATCTGTCCCACGGCTGCCACGCAAAACGACGGCAGATGCGAGTTTGTGCCACGCCTGCCACGTGAAACCAAGGTGGATGTCAGGTTGTGCCACGCCTGCCACGCAAAGTGACGCGGCGCCCCGGGCGACAAATCCGGACCAAGCGCGCCACACAGTACCATGAGTGCCACGCCGGCCACGCAAAACGACGGTGGATGCGAGTTTTGTGCCACGCCTGCCACGTGAAACGAAGGTGGAGTGTGGTGACAAAGTGTGTGGTGACAAAGTGTATGGTGACAAAGTGTGTGGTGACAAAGTGTGTGTTGACGAAGTATTCGTTGATAAAGTGTGTGTGGACAACCTGTGTGGTGACAAAGTATGTGGTGACAAAGTGTTTGTTGATAAAGTGTGTGTGGACAAAGTGTGTGGTGACAAAGTGTTTGTTGAGAAAATGTATGTTGACAAAGTGTATGTTGATAAAGTGTGTGTTGACAAAGTGTGTGGTGACAAAGTGTGTGTGGACAAAGTGTGTGGTGACAAAGTGTATGTTGATAAAGCGTGTGTGGACAAAGTGTTTGTGGACAAAGTGTTTGTGGACAAAGTGTGTGGTGACAAAGTGTGTGTGGACAAAGTGTGTGTGGACAAAGTGTTGTGGACAAAGTGTGTGGTGACAAAGTGTGTGTGGACAAAGTGTGTGGTGACAAAGTGTATGTTGATAAAGTGTGTGTGGACAAAGTGTGGAGGAGGGCGGAGGAGGAGGCGGAGGAGGAGGCGGAGCCCGGGATACAGAATCAAAAACAAGAACCCCACACAAAGATGTGGGGAACAAGAACCCCACACAAAGATGTGGGGAATAACTGTTTGGGAACTTGGTTGGGTTCTTTTGAAGCAACAAACATAACATCTGTATACAGTATGGAAAGCTCACTGGATTGTATTGGGATGTTCCACGGGATTTTGGACCTTTGGAATATAGAAGCCAAACAACAAAAAATAGTTCTGTCATGGGATTCAAATGGTGGTTAAGTGCTTTTTATTGGGAAACATGAGGGTGTTGACCAAAACCCATCAATATCCCCACGAAATATCCCTATTTCGAATGGTTGGTTCCAACATTGACCATGGCACATATTTTGATGGCTGAACCATCATGTATCAGTCATGTATCAACTACCCTCTGGTAAACTAACAGTTCGCTATTGAAAATGGTGATTTATAGTGGATTTAGCCATTAAAAATGGTGATTTTCCAGTTCGTTACGTTGGTTTACCAGAGGGTAAAACCCATTTCCCCCAGTTTTGTGCTGGTGGTGTCATCAACCATCAGGGGTTGGTTTACCATGAATGTTCATCCCCAAAAATTTATGGTACTAGTTCAATGTTCATCAATAACTTGAATGGAAACTGAAAATCCACCCATATATATATACTGTATATAAATCCACCAAAAACTATTTGTTTGAAAATCCCCTGACAAAAATAGAACATAGTCGTTGATATGTCCCACTTTTTGATCCCATATCAAAATCCCATATCAAAATCCCATTGAACACCTATAAGACCCATTAAAGACCCATGAAAAATCATGAAAAATCCCACGACCTGGCAAAAGTTCCACTGCCTCGTAGCCGCTCTTGTACTTGGGAGCCACGTAGCGCGTCTGCAGCAGCTCGAAGAGACACCAGGAGCGTTGCCTTAGCCGCTACAGCTAGTGTGGGGTTATATGAAGGTTTCCAAAGTCATGGGGGTACCCCTAAATCATCCATTTATAGATGGATTTTCCATTAGAAACTATCCATTTTGGGGTACCATAATTTATGAAAACCCCTATATGTAGGGTGAGGGATGAAAAGAAATACATTCAAGGCATCAAAAAAAATGGTTCCACTGGGGATCAACAAGTAGTACACGTCTAAGGCATCCAAAAAAAAACTGGAACCCCTCGTTTTCTATGGCGCTTGCAACAGTTTGGAGTCGAAACCGTTTTTTTTCCGGTTTGCAGCGCTTTGGAAGTGGAACCCCCCGCTCGTAAGGACATTGGACCTGGAAATCACGCATTCGCACGCATGTTTTGTCAAAATGTTTGTTTGTGAGAATTTTGTGAACATGTTGCAGCTCGACGCTGCCGTTTAGGGCAATATTTGCAACACTTTGGATTCCGAACCTTTCATTTTCGATTGTTGGTTTTAAATTTGTTTAAGGTTGGCTCAAGGTTTTTGAGAGGTGGTTTACGGGTTGTTTAGGTTGACTGAGGTCTGATTTAGGGTTGGTCATTTAGGGTCGGTGTATGGGTTTTTAAAGGTTTCGTTGGGTTTCTCTAGGCTTGGTTTAGGGGCAAACAGCAATATGGGAAAAGGAACAAATGCAGCACTGCCAAGACATGGAAAGAAACACCACGACTGGATAGCGTGGCCAAGAAAAAAACAGCAATTTTGGAACGGGAACCCTTCAAAATACGCCTGGAAAAATTGCAGAGGTCAGTGTTTGTGGTCAAGAAATGAACAAGTTGGACTTTGGGATGGAATTTTGCGCGCAGACTCCAGACATTTCGGTTTCTGGGCTAAACATGATAAACACAAGTATCAGTATCAGTATCAGTTTCGATTCTCTATTTTATGCCATGGCTGTTCCCATCGATTTCCCAAGCACCTTTGCACCAAACATGGCAGTTTTCTTGTTCGCGTTGCACTTCCCAGAGGCACAAAGCCTTTCAGGATGCCAACCCACTTTCCACATGGAATGGGGCATATTCTAAGTATTTTGTACTCGAATTCGCCTGCGGAATCGATATTTTGCATATTCTATGATAGCGGGAAACTTATCTATCTATCTATCTATCTATCTGTCTGTCTGTCTGTCTGTCTGTCTGTCTATTTATCTATCTATCTATCTATCTATCTTCAACCCCAAGAAAGAAAGAAAGAAAAAAAGAAAGAAAGAAAGAAAGAAAAGAAAAGAAAAGAAAAGAAAGAAAGAAAGAAAAAAGAGAGAGAGAAAGAGAGAAAGAAAGAAAAACATAGGGAGAGAGATTCATGTAACTAGGCATATTCATCGAATAGGACTGCAGTACTTCATGTAATTTTTACCTGTTTACGAACATTGGACACGGGGGTCTTTGAACTCATTTGGATGCCCATGGTGGCGTCTGACATGGGTTCTGTAGCCAATTTTGAGAAACAATTGTATCTTTAGACCTTGAGTATCTTGCTGTCCCACTTCTCCTCGGAGCAACCCCAAAAAGAAAAGAGTCGGGTGAAATTTTGAAAGTAACATACACCATGTATATCTTGTCGGGTGTTACTATAACCGTGCTGGAGATTTCATAGTCCAATAATTAAAAGTTAAATCCATAACACGGGACTTTCCAAAGATTACCGTGCGTTCCATCATTTGGCGGGGAAACTAAGGGGGCATAACCATGGACGGGTATGCAAACGGGGCTGTCAAAATGAATTGCGTTCAACTTGACACGGCCGTGCATCAAAGAAAATTTCCCAGCGTCAAACCATATGGCCAAAAAATGTATTGCCAATGGAAAAACGGACAGTGTAACAAAGGGACATGGGGGATGAAACAAGTGCACCAGGACATGGGACAAAAATTTTGATTTTTGTTGGTAAAGTACACATTTTGGTTACTTTCTGTGAATGGTTGAAAGATGTTGAAAAAACATGGTCTTTTCAGCAAACCCAATAGCATCTGTCTTTTTTTTGGTAAAATCCCTCAGGTCAACTTAATTACAGCTCAATTTCCGTTTGTGAAATCCTTCTAAGAAACGATGTAAGCCTATGAATATCCTAATTTTTCTCAACCAGACATCTTCCTCACACCTGCATACTAAGGCATACTACTTCGAGGATCATGCCAATTGGCAATTGGTTTGCAACCATAATTGAAAGGTGTGTGATTTCCGGGGTATCCCATGTACGATTGGGTTTGACACATACTAGCCAGTGACGATCCGTGGACTGGTCCTCCCGGCAATCGCTGCCCCTCTAATGCCACAAGTTCATCACCCCACTACATCCCCATTTGGGTTGGTTTCGAACACATTTTGATGGTCTGAACCCCTATTTTGAAATTTTTGCCAAGCTACAGAGGCGTGCAGTCGTTGTCCAAAACCATTGCGGTGCCCTGACCTGATCACCGAGGCTGGCCGTGCCCGTCCTGGTCGCACTTTGAAATACTAAGAAGCTTCGAACAAAAGGATGATTTTCCTTTGGGAAGTTCCATTTTATTTCTTGAGGGTTCCCCAGCGACCTGGCTCACCAACCCGGCAACCTATCACTGTCATTTCTGGGGGCCGCTCAATAGGCAATTCCGGATGCACAAGTTGGAGCGCGCCGCTTTGTGCTTGTCAGTTTCCAACAGGTGCGCGTGGGGCATGCTGATGCCGGGCAAAGCTCTGCGTTCGGTCCGTTTCAGCACACAAACATCAAGCTAAGCAGCGCCGGGCGCGCAAACCCGCGCATTGACCGGCTTTGGTCTGCAATTCGTTGGGAACCTCATCCGGCAGTGGCAACAGTGCGTTTCTTCATGGTTGAGGTCCGGCGACACAGAGCGATTTCTGGCATATCTTCTGGCATAATGTGTGTCTGATATCGGAACTGTCACATTCGGCCATTCGGCGACATGTGTATGTACATGTGGAGTGACAGGTACAATGCCAGTTGTCTAACATATTGACCGACTATGTGAATATGAAATAATATGAAAAGATTCATATGTGAGTATGTAATGAATGATATTGCTAGGACATGTTCGATGACGTATGTACTGGCATCAGTCCTGACACATAAAAAGTGACATGCTGCGCCTTGGAGAAAACCCAGCAGCTGAGGCGGTTCAGGCGATGGCAGCCCCAATAGTACAGGGGTGCTCCCTTCAGATACGAGGGGGATGACCAGGGTCGATAAAGAATGATCAAGAATTACCAATTGTCCCCCCTTTTAGCAAACATTTACCTATAACTGGTTGGATGAACTAACTCTGGTGCAAATTACGAAATATGTCTTTTGCGAAATTGACCGGGATTGTTATAACCATTCTAAACAGAATTGGAACATCAAACATATGGATGATATCAATGGGGAACCAATGGACCGAGAAAAGTGTGGAAAGCTGATGGTCAGGGCCCAGGACTTTCAAACTTGGGGGAGGGTTCTTCAATTTTCCCGCCAGCAACATAGAGATAAACCTGGTTTCACAGGAAAATGATCTACAAATAGTGGGTGTTCCATATCTATATTGATTTTCTGGAGGATTTTTCTTGTACGCCACATGCTAGTTGCTGTAAACGGCCACACGCACACACTTTAGAAGCAACCACACTATTGTCAACTTGGCAATTCACAAGCAACGGCCTCAAGAGTCAGTTTCTCATGGACCGCTGTGTGAAGTTCAACCCCAAAGTTTCCCATCTTCGTCGATGTTCATTCTCATTCTCATTGAACGGCTCCTGCTGCTTAAATTTCGCATTAGAACCAACATAGCCTACCCTCTGGTAAACAAACATAACTATGGAAAATCACCATCTTTCATCCGCCGACCCCTGCCTAGCCTTGGCCGCCCGGGACCACCGAAGGTGTAACAGTAGCCGCTGCAGTTTCAGCTCTTTGCCAGGTCCCAAAACTCTTTGCCGGCCCACCCGTCAGCTGCCCACATGTTGTTCCTATAGCATTTCAAGGCGTTGTTCGCCGGCCCCTGAAATGTCACGCTGCCGCTTCAGTGCGTTGCCAGGTCCCAAAACTGTTTGCCAGCTCCCCAGAACATTGTTTCTATAGCATTTCGAAACTGCCGCGCGGCACGTTTCACCAACCGCGCTTCTGAGAGGTTACCACAAGCTTCCAGGAACTCTTCACACCAGCTTGCCCAAGGCTCAAAAATCGCAAAAAACATCCCCCTTTAACAGGGGGTCGGCGGCATCCGGGCGTTAGCCCTTTTATGGGTGAATCAACTATAAATCACCATTTTCAATAGCTATTTTTATTTCCCAGAGGGTATCCCAAATGGGAAAATGTAATTTTGAGCCATATCTTTAGTATCATCAAGCCGTCCCCATGTTGATAAACACCCAGATGTTGGTTGGAAGACATCCCATGTTTGTTTGACACGTTCCTTATTTCTGGATGGCGAACCCTCCTACAAATTAGTTGGCTCACTCCTTGTTCTCCTAATCTTCTGCAGGTCAAATCAATAAAAGCCACGTCTGTTGTCCTGGAAATCAACCATAGTGTGGCCGACCAAAAAAAAACATAAACCATACAAACCATACCTGCACGGAATGACTTGCCTTGTGATTATCATTAACCATACCGAGTTGGAGTTTGTCATTGTTGGCAACTCCTCAATTGTTGACTGGGTCAAACCCACATGTTTCATCATGTGCAGGGTCAAATCGAGGTGTTTCATCATTTTCGTAGGAAAAAAAAACACATGTTTTTTCGGTGTTTCCCAGAATCAGGCCCCATCAAAAATGATCAAGATTGAAGGGTCACCGTTTAGGAAACACCCAAATCCCTAGATTGTTGTTTTCGTATGTTTCTGTGGATTATAAACCCAACAGGATTATAAACCCAACAGTCTACCAAAACTCTACATGTTACGCCGTTACGCTGGGGTTACTGGCTCATCTTTGCTGACATCCCCATCTCTGGTGATGAAAATCCCGCTTTGGATCGGTTAAGCCACGCCATCGTTACAGGTACAAATCAACGCTGGATCCGCTGCATCAATCCCGAAAAATTGCTTCCCTCTTTTCCGCGCAAATACCAAGTCTGGTTGGTGGTTGAGCCCTACCCCTCTGAAAAAATGATGGAGTGAAAGTCAGTTGGGATGATTTTTCATTCCCAACTGTTTCTGGGAAGTCAGAAAAAAATCCATGGTTCCAGTCACCACCAACCAGTTATTCAGAAATTCCATAACCAGAGGCTTAATCACCATGAAAATATCCCTATGAAAAACCACCAACCAGGTTCGTGTTTTCACTGGTTAAAAAACCACCATTTCTGTCGATGAAATCCCCCCGGTCCAACATGTCCAACTCAAATCGAGATCGCGGCATTCGGGACTCTGCAGCGCCAGGTAGAACGAGGACTTCAGTGGATCGCCATCGCCCAACTCCTCCTGGCGGAGCGGCGCGAGGAGCAACAAATCAGGGGAAGTTAAGCACGAAAAATCGTGATGAATAATGGAATTTCATGGAAATGAAGCATGAAAAATGGTGATGTCATAAGATTTAAACCTTCGACCATGGTGATTTTGTAGGATGTTAAGCTTCAAACATGCTGATTTCCATGGGACTTTTTGCTACTGTAAGAGAAGGACTTTGTGTGGATTTCACCTTTAAAAAAATGGGGATGTAGCCAAGATGGGGATTTAAGAGGAGTGATGTTCAGCAAACATGATGATTTTACCAACAAGAATTTAGATTTGGCACGACAATAATATGGATTTAATCGGCCAAAAAAGGGATTTAACCAGCAAGTATTTGAAAAAAATAAAGAACATAAAAAAAAAAAACATGATTGTGGGTGTGACCTGTAAACATACAACTACCGGTAAAACATCTCACACTGTAATCAATAACAAACATTACAAACAAACACCCGTCTGTCCCGGCACATTTGCGAAATGCGGCGGGTCGCTTCTAGAAATTGGTTTGTCCAAAATTCTGGTATACACTGATTAATCGCATCCTCCAAATATCAAATATCCCCAAAATGAACAGACCCAACACTAAACCAGGGCTTCCAAATTTCATTTCATACTAGGGGGAATGGATTACGACAAAAATAGCCTATCAGATTGCCATTTTTGGTGCCAGTGTTTGCACCCCTTTCTAAATCTTCAGAAGTCCTTAACCTTGAACTGATTGTTGCTGAAGGAACAAATCCTCAGCATGAACGAACGGACGTCTGAGAAGAACGACCCATTTTCGTTGTTGCGAAAAAACTGGGAATTTCAGGATCTTAAAAGAGAGCTACTGTACCATATAAAGCAATAGTTTGGGGATATTAATATGATATATCCCCTTACATAGGCCTTATATGGCCTTATATATGATATATGGTATATAGGTACCTCCAACCAATCGGTTCCTGTTGCATGGCCATTGATCAACACCTTGTATCCGCGAGGGCTGATCTGGTGCCTCAACGTCCAAATTGCTGCTACTTCCAACTAGCTTGGCTGTTGGATTATGGCAAACATGGGGATGTAGGTGATTTATGGTAGGTAAGTTGGGTTTACAACCAAAGTATGCTATGAAGCTCAATCCCAATCCCTAGTTGTTGTTGGTTTAGCTTTCCCATTTATGTTGCGCGGAAAAAAAAGAACTACGATATCAGTGATTGTGCTTTGACCCCTCCCCAT